GTATTAGATAAGAGTAGTACAGTATATATTTTTGTAATAAGAGAGATTGAAGGAGATTTGGCTTAACTAAATTAGGTACCGTAGCAATGATAAGTTTGCTGTGACAGTAACTTACCAAAGAGAGAAATTACAGTAATAGGATAAGGTTTAACTAAGCCTTAAAGTTAATTGAGATTAAGATTTACTGTAGGGAATATAAGTTTAGCCCCTACAGTAAAATACTGTATGAATATTGTTACATGCTTTTGAAAATCGCTCCACAGGCTGCGTCGTTTTCATTGTCACAGACCTCAGCTGTTGCGGCGGGACATGTTCTTGCTCCATAAGACGATCCAACGAGAAGGCAGAAGAAGATGGCTGCGGTAAAGATGACGGTTTGGCTAAAATACATATATCTTTATTTTTAGGCTGTACTGATCAGTTAACTGAGGCTAGTGTATTTTCAAGTTTTTGTTTCTGAAGTAGTTTGTTCGTTTGTTCGTCCCGTGTTCATAAGCTCTTCTGACAACTGAGTAGTAAATACGTCGATGTGCCTGATAAATATAGATGCGTTTTAGAGATTCTTGATGAGGTATAACTGCAAATTTTTTTGATTAGAAAGATTACAAAAAAAAGTGAAGGTGCTTGACGGTAAGGGGATTGGGTTTGTGGCATATCTGTATTTTGCGCAGGCTTATATACCGGCATCTCCGCACGGTCCAGTTTGGTGAGCTGCAAAGAAGTCAACTCAAACAGTTTTTGGTATTCTTTTTTTAAACTTTTTTTTTGTCAGCTATTATAGCAAAGAAACGAAAGAAAACAGGACTGAAAAGATAAATGGAACGGTACAGTCAAAAAAAAAATGATCGGAAAACAGTTACAATGGAAACAATAACAAATAAATAGTAAGATGCTTTCATATTTAGTAGCTTTTTCTGTAATAATGTGTTAAAATGCCTTATTTGTTAATACTTGAGAATATTATATCAATCATCACTGAGATGTCTTGCTTGAACCCAACATTAAAGTTCAAGCCAAAAGAATATATGACGTTAGTTTGTGATTTTCAGTGTGA